CCAATCCCGTCTTCCGGTGCACTGCCAGACAGCGCGCGGCGCCAATGGGCGGGAGGTGCCTGTCCTCTCCCCGCCACCCGGTCCACGTCTTCCACGGTACACAATGGCCCCGAAGGAAGGACCGCTGGCCGCCCGGCCCAAATGAAAGGGGGACTCCAAGGGAAATGGGTAGACTGGTCTCACCCGGGAACAAAAGTGGAAAAGGGAAAGGAAATGGAAAAGATTCAAGGCACTAGGGAGCTGACCAATAGGGAGTGGGCCGGTGGGCGTGAGCGTTGGGAGCTGGAGCCCAAGCCAACTGGGGCTAAAAGGCGGGACTTCCTGCTTTGCTCACCTTCCTAGTCTTTTGTTTCATAGCAACGGAGTAGTGCCCGAGAGGGTGTTGCTGCTCTATCCTGGGCGTGTCCGAGGCCCAAGAATTTCAGTTCCCTCGGGCTGCCAAACTCTCCTACCCAGGACAGCAGCCAGGTTGCATTGCTTCTTGTTGGCTATCAAAAAAGACCCACAGTCATCCAGCTTCGAAGATGAAGTAGAGACCTCACGTAGTGTAGACTATGATTGCCAAACAAAACTTCCTACATTTCTTTTTTTTAAAAAAAAATACATTTTATTGATTTTTTACAGAGAGGAAGGGAGAGGGATAGAAAGTTAGAAACATCCATGAGAGAGAAACATCGATCAGCTGCCTCCTGCACACTCCTCACTAGGGATGTGCCCGCAACCAAGGTGCATGCCCTTGACCAGAATCGAACCTGGGACCCTTGAGTCCACAGGCTGACGCTCTACCCACTGAGCCAAACCAGTTAGGGCAAAACTTCCTACATTTCTGAGTGTTTTCCTGTTATAGTGAATTCTGGAGGGATTGCAGATCAAATATCAGGCTAATGAGAAAGCAAATAGTTAACTACACTGGCCAAGCAGTCTCCACTAATCATGCCAGGGCAGAGAAACAGATCATGGGAATTGCAAATATATGCATTACCCCTTTCGTTTACTAGAAGTTTCTGCATAAGCAACTGAAGAGGAAACAGCTTTTGTAATTTGTTCCAGTCACCTTTACTCTATGTAGGTTTCTCTTCATCTTAAAAACAAACCTGTCAAAGATTCAGAAATAGCCAAAGTAAAACCAATGAATCACTGAAGGAGAAGTTGGTAAAAATTTGTTATGCACACCCCAAAAAAACAGTTTGCAAACTGGGAACACTCAAACCAAAGCATGGGATGAGGCTTGGGGCATACCGCTACAGAGCAGCCTATATAATGAGAGAGCAGTGTCTTCACAATGAATGGTAATTAAGCTAAATTAATGACTAAACTGATTTTTATCTTCTTAGGGAAGCTTCAAAGCTATTCTCCATTTGCCTTTTGATTTTAACACACCTTATTGTATCTGCTGTTCTCTCCCAGCATTTGTATTCTCTCTTTCTGTGGCTCCATATACCATTAGAAAGGCCCACATCTGGCTAGTCTTACAAGGAAAAAGCTACTGTGCTGGAACTCTTCTTTCAACAAGATTATAGATTAAACGCATGCCTTCTATTTTTTTTTTCTTGTATTTAACTTCAATCCTACCACTGGTGCTACTAAAAATTGCCTTAGAATGTCATGCTTTGGAATTTTCTTTCCACTACAATTGGTAGTCTTAAATAAACTTTGCACTGTGGGCTTCTCAGATGTTGTGATATATATTCTTTCTCTAAACTGATAAAATGTTTCTCAATTGTTCTAACCACTTTCTACCTAAATATCATTTTAGTACTGTGATTATTACTATCAAGGATCCTGAGTTCTTATAAACATACTTTACAGTCCTAAATTCAGATGATTAAGATTTGCATTTGATTAAACAGGCAAAACGTGTTCTTTACAAGTAGTAAGATGATAAAATGTGGTTCGGGAAGTAATTTTGTTTCTTTGTCATTATTTCTGTGCCAATAATTACAGAGTAGTTCCTTGTTTTCACATTGTGTTTATCTACAAAAGTACTGGTCTCTCCATATCTCCTCTACCCATACATATCTCCTTTACTCTTAGTAACAGAAACTACATTTACTAAGGGAAGATTGCAAAAGGAAAAAAACACATATTGGATCACCGTTTAAATAAATCCAAGAAATATATAAACTGTACATAGGAAGTTTTCAGAATGTACAAAAACAGTGGCTTAAGGGAATATTATAAGTACATTACTCATATTTATATCTAGATAAATGTAGAATAAGTAAAATACATGTGATAGCAGTGGCATTTCTTTTATATTATTTTTGCAACTGAAAGAAATAAAAATTGCATGGGATATGGTGATACGTATATGTATATACATGCACATACAAAACACACACAGAATATCAAGAAATTACAGCTTCATTCTCAACTAACTATTTTATCAAAGCCATCTAGAGTCCAAGTTAAGTTCTGGAGTAGCAGGGTTTCCATTTGAGCCCAAAGTCTGGTTTGGTTACGTCTGATGAACTAATGAGACAGTAATCTTCCCTGCAAACTATTAGCATGAGTTGACGCACATGGAAAATAAAGAACTGTTGAGATAAAATTTCTTATCCCAGGTGTCTCCAGTGAAGACACAAGGGATGGAGCATAAAAAAGGAATGTATATTAAGGGGCTATAAAGAACATATAGAAATGTTTTCATTAGAGACTTTGTGATACTCAGAGCATAAGCAGTAGCACATCAAGGTAACAGAGTTTGCTAGAGAAATGCAATCCTCATTTCTAAAAAGAAAAAGTCAATTTCCAACAGGGTCTGGTTTAGCATGAAAGTAGCCTCCTTTGGTAGCATGGTGATTTGTAGCCTACAGTGAACTTGGATTTGGCATTTTTATAGGAGAGGAGTGTTCTCCTGGAAGATCCTTACATGCAGCAGAATGATGAGACAGTTTACCTAAGAGTCTTGAAAGCACCATAGCAGGCAGTAGGTGATTAATATGAACAAAATGGTCATGAGCACATGTAATACCCTTACCCCAGAACTCCCAGAAAAGATTGGGAGATTTTGTGGCAGGGCTACTGAGAAATTTTGTAATGGTATCTATAAACCCCTGTAATTTGAGCATTAATACTTGATATTAATATTTATATTCACAGAAAATGCAGATGGTTATAGTCTTTAAACACAGAAAAAAATGTTTAGAAGAGCACAACTATTTGGGAAAAATATTTAGACTATTTTTATTCCATTCAATTTTTCTTTCTTTCTACTTTCTCCAAATTCACAGGTGACTCGTGTGATATTGACTATGAGTTGACTAAATAGCAAAGCTTTCCAATAATTTATTTGATCCATAAAAGCTAGTCAAAAAATATTTGCTGAATGAATAAATTGGCTATTTAAGGATATTGCCTAGGAAGCATAAGCTGTCTCTGTTTCTGTCCAAATTCACATACTAAAGAGAAATAAGAGCATTATTACCTAATCACATTTGGGTTTAACGAATAATTCCATGTTAAGAGTAATAAATTTCTAACTATCCTTAACAATACATACTAATAGCTGCCAATGAAAGATGTTGATCTATGGATCCATCTGATATAAACACACTCTGTGTATTGGTTTGGGCTCCACTGGAATTCTTGCTGAACAATAACTACAACACAAAAATAACAATGACATAAGATAGAATCTTATCCTTCTCACACATAGAAAACGTATGAAATGGTGGCTCCATAATTTTCTCCTATATCATCCCAGCACCTGGATTTCTACCCTCAGAATCACCTTATATTCCAATATGGCTGTTGGTGGTCCAGCTCTCACCACTGATTTTCAGGCTAAAGGTTAAGAGGAAAGGTGGAAGGGCATATTGAATTTCCAGGTAAGTCAATTCTCTTTAAGCAATTTTCAGAAAACTCCCACAAATATTTACCTTTACTATCTCAAAGTCAGAATTCAGTCCCATGGCCAAACTTAGCTGCAAAAATGCCTGGAAGACAATGTGCTTTCTGTTTGGGGAAGCAATATAACCAGCTAAAAATCTGGGTTTTGTTTCTATAGAGAGAGGAGTGAATAGATGTTTGGCAACAAACTAGCAAATCCTACCACAAAGATCTTGTTCTACAAATTAAACTTATGATTAAGAAGTCAGTTACTATATATCATATAGAGAGTAAGTTATCAGTTCCCTAACAGATACTAGCATCTGCTATTACCAGACACATATATATATGCCTAAAGTTTGTCATATATGCAGTAAATTATATACAATTTCTTTACAGCATGTGGGCTCAGTAATCCTAAACAATTCAATATCATCACAGGGTGCAAAATTAAGTAAGCAACTGCCTTAATACATTCCATCCTAAAGTTTATATCAGATTAAACAACTATACATCTGAAAAAAAAATCTTTATAATCACTTCCTTGTGATTTTTCCCTAGACAATTAATTCCAAGATAATTATTTTCCAGATAATTATTTATTTGGCAG